ATTTCACAAAATTCCTTATCTTCCTCCCCAAACTTGCTCCTCTATAATTTCCCCTATCTCAGTAAATAGCATAAGCCAAAAATCTTGGAGTGACTCTTGACTTCTCTTTTTTCCACACACCTTACACCAATCCACCAGGAAATCCTGTTGTCTTTATCTTCAAAATTTTCCCCCAATTTCACCACTCTCAGCTGTCCCCACTGCAACCACCCTTGTCCAACTGGAGAAGCTTCCTAATTGGTCACCCTGCTTTGTTTTTTGGCTCCTTACAGTCAAATGTTCCATGCAGCTGGTGGAGTGTGTGAGAGTTCAGAATGAGCCATCCCAAGATGTCCCTCAGTGGTATGCAGATTACCTTGAGCCAAAAGAAATTTTAGCTTCAGGCTCAAGAGAAATTTCTGCACCTCGTCCCCCCTAACTACCTAGAAGAATTTGAATTAGAGGCCTTGTCCATAAGAGATTATCTGAGGTAACAATTTTTGACCTATCTATAGGGCAGGGCAAACTTCTATTTACTAAATATCTGCACTTCTTATCATACTGCAATGACCCTTTGAAGCCCCCAAAGGCACTTTACCTCATCCCTAGCTCAGGATGTCTTATACACCTCAACCCCCATTTCTATCTCTGAACCTCTCATGTATGCAGGGTCTCTGACTCTCTCCTGATGTAGAGGTCCCGTGTGTACAAGGTTAAATCTGATTTTCTCTTGTCAACCTGCCTCCTGCTGATTTGATTATTTGGCCAGCCGAAAAGAACCAGAGGAGGGAATGAGGGATTTTCTCCCTTCCCCCCAAGTGATTTTTCTCAAACATTATTCAGATGTCACTCATCTGCTCAAAACCCTCTCATGGCTTCCCATCCCACTCAGAATAAAAGCCAAATTCCTTCCCCCTCAAAGATAAATAGACAGATAAACCTCTAAATGTTCTATGGTCATAGTCTGTAAACTCATCTTGGATTAGGATTTTTTTTGACTCATTCAATTGAATGGTTATAGATCTAATTAAGATTTCATTTTTTCTTGAGTTAACATTGGTAACATTTCTCTAGAAAACTATTTATATTTTTAAATTTACTGCCAAAACTATTCATAGTATTTTTCCATTTTCTCCTAATATTGTTTATTTGTCCCTCCTCTCCCATCATCGTGCCAGTTTATCTATTTATTAATCTTTTCTAAAAAACAGCTTTTGGTGAATTATCCTTTTATCATTTAGTAATAACATTCTTTATCTCTAATAATAAATATATTTTTAAATTTCAACATCTATTTGATGTTAGTATAATTACAATAATTACTTTTTGGTGAGCATTTGCCTAGTATATCTTGTCTCGCTAAATTACTTTCAGAGTATCCTCTGTTTTAGGTTTCGTCTCCTGTAAACCAAATGTATCTTTCAAAAAAAAAATTTCCATTCTCTGGCTAATCTAAGAATTTACACTTATTATGATTACTAATATAATTGGACTTGTTTGCATCTTCTTGTTTTGTCCTTTATGTTTACTATGTTTTGTTTTTTTACTTCCTTCTCTCCCCAAGCACTCTTTTCCTTCCTTCTCTTGGAGTGATCAAATTTTCTTCGTTTCTCCAAAGGTTGCATATTCCATTTATATTATTTTAATAGTAATGTTTAAATATGAACTCCTGACTGAAAATATATAGTACCTCTATCCTCCGTCTTAACATAAGGGCCTTAGAATGCTTTAAACTCTAGTCTCCTCCCATTCTTCTGCCACGTTATTACTTTCCATTATTTAATTATATCTTTTTTCACCTTCCCCCTAAATTAGTCTTTATTATTATTATTATTTGTTCCATTGCTCTATGTTTTAGTTATCCCATTATTCTCATTTTAAATTTCATTGCCATTAAAGATCCTGGTCTCTTAATTATCTGCTTTTTATACCAAATAATCTGCAGGTACAGTGAACACTGCCTCCATCATTATTTTTCTTTCTGATCCATATTCTCTTATCACCACTTTGTACTTAACACTTTTATGAATGAGCCCTCAAACAGAGCTGATATCAAAGAAATGCACGAAGTTAGTATTTCTTATCTGGGCCAAAATAAATCTAGGAATTGCTTTTTTTAAAAGTCAACGAATATTTGAAGATACTTCCTAGAGTACATATTTAATCTCTCTCTATATATAAAATCAAACCTGCAAAAGGATCCTTTTATAAACATAGCTCTTTCCTTCTTTGCCTTGAAGATTCAAATAATATTTAGCAGCAAGTATATTTAGCAAATGACTAATGGAAAAAAATATTCTCTTTCACAGATACAGGAAAAGGAATTAGTTGACATGCTAGCTGATATGAACAAACTATTGCCTCTAATAGAAGAATGATAATTAGTTTGAGATATTTAACACTGAATGATTTCTAACAAGTGAAATCCATATAAGTTGATCTTGATTTAAAAAGCAAATCGGAAACAGAGTTCAGAGCTTGTACCAGCTAACACTGAAAAATGCTTCATAAACATCTGTACATATCTACAGTAGATGGAAGATACAGCACAAACTTAAGAAACCATTGTTGCAACTCATTCATTTTTTGACTGTGGTAAAAATATGCATAACATAAAATTGCTCGATCATGTTTAGTGGTTAAGTGATGTGCCTAAGATCACTCAGAAAAGGTGATAAAGCCCTAAATGGGTTAGGGCTCTACTACTGTGAAGACCAGTTGTTGGGGCAGGATGCGTGTAGGGCGGGAGAAGGTGGGAAAGTAGGATACTACACATGCAGGCTCGTGGGATTTCCCAGCAGAACCATTTGTGGAGTATTCTGGTTAGCCAGCAGAGCTTGACAGTGCAGCCAGGAAGCCCCCTCCTCCGTCCTTCTGTTTCTCAATTAATCTCACCAGCTACTCCCAAAATAAATATGACTGAAGGCTCAGACAACTTTTTAATCATTAAAATGTTAGAGAGGAAAGTCCAACGCTGCAGATTTGCTTTAATGAGAAGATAGTTCTTTTGCCCTTGAGGGATGGCAAGCCTGGATCAATAGCTGGGTCATTAGGATGGCTTAGAGCCTGCAGGAAGTACTTTATCACCAAGGACTTAAGGGTACCTTTCATTTGCCTGGAGCACTGCTTGATGCAAAAGGAACAAAAATAATGAGGTCTCTATGCTTAAGGATTTCATCACATCTATGGGAGACATAATTATGTTCAAAGACCAGAAAGCAATTAGTACCTGGATCAGGGCCTTCAGGAAAGGGCGATCATGGGCCGGGTGGTGAGGCAAGGACATGTGGCTTGAGTACGTATGGCCCTATATCAAAGTCATAACACCACCAAGAGCACTCACTACTTACTGATTGCCTACTTGGTGCCAGACAAACACACCAGGCACTAATTTTTTCTTCGCAATACTTCAGTGGGGGCAGGTGTTATTTTTTACAGATGACAGCATGGACTCACAGAAGTTGAGTGAATACATGTCGTTCAAGGCAGAGCTAGGGATTTAAACCTAGGAACCAAGCTTCATCAGTTCTCCTTAAAGCCCCTTCCATCACAGTAATGAAGGGAAAGGCCTTGTAGATGTAATTATAATACACTTCAAAGAGGAAGGAAAAATAACCTCCATTCACCTGCCTACTCCTTCAGTTCTCACCTTGAACATCATCTCTTGCAGGACTCCTCCTTTGCTCTGCAAACTGGGCTAAACTCCCAAAATAACCAGCAATCCTTCACGTGCAATATCAAAAGCCAATAAGCTCTGAAAATTTTAAGTGTTTTCATAAGTTTGCAGCAAGTTCATTGGTGGCAAAAGGTGACCTGAACTGATGTGAAACTATTTTCAGACTTTACTTTTCCTACTCAGTGTGGATATTTATATTCTGATGTAGAAATAATAATGTGTTTGATTAAGGGGAACTGTCGAGACTCCACTGCAGTCATTATAGAATGCATATGTATATTATCTTTCTAAAATCCAAACATTTCTGACTTGCAAACACATCTAGACCCAGGGGTTTCAGACAAGAAACTCTGGACCTTATGCATAAATCTCACTGCACTACAAGCATTTATTCTTCTGTGTGAGCCCAGCACCCGACAGAGAGCCTTGCATATAATACGTACACAATAAATATTTCCAGAATGAGGAAACAAGGCTAAGAAATTGGCTATGAAGGGAAAATGGTCAGTGGCTTGGGAGGGATCATGGCTCCCAACTTGCAGGCCAGGCATCTAACCATGGAATGCTACTTCCTTCTCTGACAGGAGGGCCTATAAATAGTTGCTGTTGATTGAGGGCAAGCAACATAGCTGCTGTCTTCACTCCGAATAAAAATAGTTCAGTTGTCTTATATGATGGGCCCACATATAACTTTAGCCCCAAAATACAAAGCAGCAGCCACATTCACACCTCAGATCACAGGGGCAGCTTCTCAGGTCTCCTTGAACTTGGGAGCAGAAGATCTGCTTTTGGGTCTGACCCTACTAAATGCAGTAACCTTTTTGGCCCACAGTTTTCTCATCTGTAAAACAACAACCAGAGTAAGCCTCAAGGCCCTTACTGGTGGGTCTCTAACAAGGTGACCCACAGGAAGGGCAGCAGCAGTCAATCCATACTGCAGAGTAGGATGCAAACCTCAGGAGCTTCTTTACTCCTATCTACTGTCCTCGCAGGCCAGAGTTCACCGTCCTCATTCGGTGGGCTCTGTCTAACCTACACAGATCTCCTCTCTCATCGAAAAGAAGTAGTCAATGCAGAGGGATACATTTTGAACTTAGAGCACCCGGGGGGCTCTTTCGGTCTTTGATCCCAAACGGTGGGCAAAAAATTCTGTGTAGAGTAACCACACGGTCTTTTGGTCTCCTGACACGCAGAGAACAGGGTGGGAATGGGCGGGTAATCACAAGCCAGCAAGGACTGAATTTAAAGAGGAAACCTCTTAACTGCAAAGTCTCCAAACACGAGAGAAGAACTGGGTAGGAGAATGAGTGCCACCAGAGGGCAGCTCGGGATGGTCCCTCCTCACCTGGTAGCACAGGATGGTTTGCTGCACCAGCCGCGCGTAACCGTCCAAGCGGACTCCGGAATTGCTCCTGCTCCTCATCTCCGTGATGTTCCCGGGGCCGTGGTGCCCGACCTACTGCGCGGAGGTGGGACGCCCGGGCTGCGGAAGCCAAACGGGCCTGGTTCCCAAACACTCACGGCGTCAGACAGTTTTCGTGATGGAGCTGGGCGGTCGTAGGTCTGGACTTAAAAAATGATAGAACCAAAGTATGATTGGAAAACAAGCCAACCAGAGTTTCGCACGGCTGCAAGGCGAGGAGGCGGAGACAGGTGCTGGCGCTCGGGCAGCCTCGCCTTGACGGGGTCCCGGGCGCCCCGGCAGAAGAAGCAGTGCGACCGGGTTCCGGGCGTGGGGCGACGATACCCACGCCGAGCCTTTTTTGTCTTCCGGCGGTCGCGAAGAGGCCCAGGGGCGGGCCACCAACTCTATCCCATCCTCCTGCCGCAGCCCACTCGCAGCCCCGCCCCGGTCCCGCCCTGGCCCCGCCCCCGCCGCGGAACGGAACCCTCTGAGTCGCGGCCCGAGGGGGAAGGAAAAAGAGGTGGTCCGCAGGAGCCGCGGGGAACCTGGCTCCGGGCGGGAACCAGTTTACCTCCCTCAGTCCCGTACCTTCTCGCCGTCCGCCGACCCCCAGCGGAGGCTGAAGAAACAGATTTTCCCTCGGTGGCCACTTCGACGCCCTGGGCCTGGCCCGGCCCCGCCCGTGGGCCCGCCTCCGGCTCCGCCCCGGGCGCGGAGCGGAACGCGGCGCCA